CTTCATTATATGTTTTACTTCATTTGGTCTGTATGGCACTCTTCCATTAGTTTATCTTGTATTACAGAATGGGATTTGTATAACAAAATAGTGTGATCTGTCAGTTATAAAATATCAATGCAGTATTTTTTAGAGTAATTCTGAATTGGACTACTTATTAAAAAGCAATATATACCAACATTTTGGTGGTGTTGGACAATTTTAATATTTCTATAGTCTATGTTGCTCCATGTAGGCAAAATGTAAGTAGGTACTTGAGCTGCAACTATTGATCATTCCTTTTCATTAATGACTTAATCTATAAAATATCAAAATCGTGGAAAATGTCCATCCTGTATTTGGACGGAACAAACGACACTTGTGTTGCTTAGCATTGATTTTGTCCGTTACATCTGACATTTTGAGTCATATTATGTTACTTATGAAATTAAATCTAATCTCTCCCGTTTCCATATTTTCCTTCTGTCGTGTGCACTAAGGCAAACAATTTTATCTAACATTAAGTGCAAATTCCCTGTGCACTTTGTGCACACCAGACCCTCGGTAGACCTGGGCCTCCGTGTGTTAAGTGTTGTCACAGCGTAAGTGAATGCAGATAAGAGTGTTGGTGTGTTCCCTCGAGGGCTCTTTAATATTGATGTGTAAAGAATACAACAGCCTGAGAGGCTGCTATTGAGAGGGCAGTGCTGCATTCCCCTCTGCCCATTGCTCTGACATATTGACAGCTTGATTGTTGTATGCAGATCTCGCATGGGGATATGCGATGTCTGGGAAGACGCTGAGGCAAGCTTTTGATTCCGTCAGTTCTGTTGTCAGGACCGTTGACGGTGTGTGCTTATAAACGCTGACTGCTGGTCCAGAAGAAACCCGTAGGAGCTTGTAGGCTCCTTGTTTTGCTTTCGCCGTTCTCTTACTGTGAATGTTTACCTTCTAGCTTGTGCTGCTTGAGAAAACGCCCGCTTCAACAAACAAAGGTGCACCATAAACTGAGCCGGCTGCGTGTTGGCCCGATGAAGGCGGCTCTGAGAGCACGAGCATAACGAGTTTAAATGCCACGCAGGAACTAAAGATCAATCTCATCGGCTCCTCCTGTTTTCTTCTGATACTCTTTCTGTTGACTACTCTCAGGATGTTCACCTTGCTGGTGATCTCAACAGTAGTCACTAATCCTTTGCCAGGCCAGCACTCCTGCCTGCAGAGCTGAAATTGCACACTGTTGTTGAATTGCAGGCTCTCAGGAGGGAAGGTGTAGAGTGCAATGGTTATTCTCTCTCACAGTCTGAGGAACGCACCACCACTCTCGGATTTCCCGTCATACTCTTACTCTTAGTGGTTCTCTCGCATACACACACCTTTTAATTTCCTCTTATGACCACACTGTTATCCAGTTGGAACTGAAGCACAGCCTACGTATGTAAATGCCCGCTGGCCCGCGCTATCTTTGGTCACAGCACACAAAGGCTGTCTGTGCTGCGTGGATGGGCCTTGCATGTCAGGGGGCGGAGTCAATTTGGGCTCTGGATCATATGCGTGGGTTGGGTTGTAGGGCCCACTCTCCACAACAACATCATCTGTACAGCCAGCTGGTTGTGAGCTAACCTAAGCCACGTTTACTATCTTTGCTCTATTGACATGCGTTATTAAGTGCCTTAGAGTCATTTTCCACCTCAGACAAACAAGCATATTCAATCAGAATCATAAGTAGCAGGTTATGCCGACTGCATGCGAGGCTTTGTGATTAGCAGGCTAATTCGGGGTTGTTGGATACGCTGCGAGTTGAAGCTCAATGGGATTAGGAGTAAATCTAAGGCTCGTCTCTGGGGATGGAAGTGTCAAGAGCAGCAGGTTGAGATTCTCCCCTCACATTGATGTTGCATTGATCTCGACCTCCTTTCCTCTGCTTGCAGACTTCCTGTTTAAGTTCCTGGTGATTGGCAGCGCCGGGGCGGGAAAATCCTGCCTCCTCCACCAATTCATTGAGAACAAGTGTAAGTTTGACCTCCATTAAAGCCTATAAGTCCCATCAGTTTGCATAAGAGTAAAAACATCAGTATGCTCTTACACAGACACACAGGAAGTGACACAGACACAATTAGTGTTGCTGATTTAAATACATTGTTTCATGCCACACACACTAAATACACCCTTTCACTCTGCTGTGAGGTTTCACTCACTTTTCAACAAGTTCCTCCTGAAAGAGTTATTCATTGACCCCCTCCCCCCACCCACAATGAAGCTGTAATTCAGTGATCCAGTTACAAATACAACATTTGAACTATTCATTGAACTTCAGAACTGTGACAGCGTTGATAAGTAAGTGGACCAGTTTCCTCTCGCACACATGCTCGTATTCATTTGAATGAAGACATGTTGGGACCCTGTGCTGTCCCTGGGGAGGGAAAGGGAGGGCAGGTCGACGCTGTTAATCCCATCTAGACTGCTTCCGGCCTCTAATGAGGATGTGAGACGGTTGAAGATAACAGCTTAGGTCTTACAAGCACAACACACCAACATATTGTACATCAGAGGTAAGAGTTGCACGTGAATTTGCCAGGAACAAATGCATAAAGGCATCACTACAAGAACTGTGCTAAAGTTGGTTGTTCTGTTGTGCTTATTGCCGCATGTCTCTTCTTTTGCACACTTTTTTTTTCTCTGCGTTCCTGTTGCAGTTAAACAGGACTCCAACCACACCATCGGCGTGGAGTTTGGATCCCGAGTCGTCAATGTTGGTGGAAAGACGGTCAAACTGCAGATCTGGGACACTGCTGGGCAGGAGCGATTCCGGTAACGGCCTACAATATTTTCCCGCTACGGGTTTGGCAAACTTGTTAACATGAATTACTGAGCACACATCCAGCATCAAACAGTTCCCACTGTCTCTGAGCAGCTCCATTAAACTGATGATACGGGTTAAAAGCGAGGGATTGTTTCTCATTCACCAGCTGATACTGATGTTGTGAATCTATTCTTTTTAACCCAGATGTTTGCTTTCTCTCCACAGCTCTGTTACACGCAGCTACTACAGAGGAGCAGCAGGAGCGCTCCTCGTCTATGATATCACCAGGTAAAACACTTTTCTTTATTAAATGACAAAATAATCATTAAAAACTACAAAAGAAAGCTGAAAACAACATGGCAGTGAGACATTCACAGCAATGATATTTTGAAATGTTGAAATTGGACCTGAAATGTGAATTTCAATTTACTCGCTTTATTTTTACGAGCACCTATATTGTGGTTTTTCAGCCTGTCATGGTGTCACAAAGCTATAGTGTGTCCACACCACCTCTAGAAATTGTGCAATTTTAACGACAGGAGTATCAGAACCCACACACAGGCCTGCTTTTCATACACTTTGTGCAGCGATGGAGGGGTTGTGAAATGAAGATGGAGCGAGTAACGCAGAGAGACTGGAATGTAACACAGTTAGTGTTTGTGTGAATGTATGGGCTGCTGAGGAGGGAGAGATGGAGTGCAGAGTGACAGGAGCTGTAATATAGAGGCGTCCCAGCAGCAGCAGCAGCAAGCGGGAGAGAAAAAGTCCATCACAGAAAGTGTCATCTCAGGGAAAAACAGTCCTCAGAGTGGGGGGGGTGGAGGAAGGAGCATGAAGAGATGGAGATAGAAAACAAGAGTCTTTGGAGTTGGAGACATGTATCACTTCTCACAGGTGAAAAGGGTAAGCAGGATAAATCTAAGATACTGATACTTAAGAGTACTTTAAAGGCCCACATGTACAACATCTGTATGTGACCTGGACCCTTGAGGTTATGCAGATGTTACAGGATGATCCGCTACACAAAATGATAAACTAGCCATTGTGCTGCACCGCGTGTCCCTCTGTCCTGTCTTACAGTCGGGAGACGTACAACGCCCTAACCAACTGGCTGACCGATGCGCGGACTCTGGCGAGCCCCAACATTGTTATTATTCTGTGTGGCAACAAGAAGGACCTGGATGCCGACAGAGAGGTGACCTTCCTGGAAGCGTCGCGCTTTGCTCAGGAGAACGGTAGCTGACGTTAATTCCACATCATCTGGATCATTTTCTGTGCTTGCTTTTCACCATTTGTGCCACCTCACCCCGTCTTTTGTTTCTCATTCTGTCTTCCTTGTATTTTTTACCTCCGTAGAGCTGATGTTCCTGGAGACCAGTGCTCTGACAGGAGAGAATGTCGAGGAGGGTTTCCTGAAGTGCGCTCGCACCATCCTCGGCAAGATAGATTCAGGTACTCTGCTCATTTATCACTACTTGAATGCATGTCACCCGTATATATCTGCCTTTTTAGTCTTACTGTGTAACCGGTCTGACTTCACTCGTTACGGTTCATTCCAAAGGAGAGTTGGACCCGGAGAGGATGGGTTCAGGTATCCAGTACGGAGACGCTTCGTTGAGGCAGCTGCGACAGCCAAGAGGCACCGCCGCACAGAATAAGCAGCAGTGTAATTGCTAGGGAATCGGGGCCCCGCCCTCACTTCAGCCCACGGGCCCACACAGACAGGGCGCCCCCTACAGGTGAGCGGCAGGTCATCCATTTTTAAATAAGACATTGTACCCCTCTCTCATTTTTGACTTGATCACTTTCTCGTCTCCTCCCTCTTCCACAGCCCCAGGTGTTGTTTGGTGTGTGGGACCCTTCTCTCTGCAGCCTCACACACCTTGGATCACCTGGACGAGTGGTCACGGAGATCACTGCGACCCCTGACACTTTGCCCCTGTGTCTGGGCAGGGAGACCCCTCAGTGTGAACACGCTGGGATCATAACGTAAAGTCTCCGTGACGTACCAGACCAGGCAGAGTCACGGGTTGTGTGTGTATGGGCTCCCCTACTGTTGTTTTATCTCTGTGCTTCTCACTCTGGTTTTAGTGTCACCTCCACACTTTCTACGTTTGCACATCATTGTTTGTAAATTATTATTGGTAAGCTATTTTTCTGCATATTCCCTTGTTCAAGCTATTTGAATATGATTCAAGATGAGTTTGGTCAGCGTTTTTTGAGTTGTAATATTCATAAAGGCACTCGTTGATGTTTTGCTTTTTATTATCCATTATTTGAGTTCACTGTACTTTTGCGTAATTTCAGACCTCGATGGTGACGAAGCGATGAACGGTTTTTAGAAGTCAACCTGTCCACATTTTGGTTAAGTATTCATCCAGAATATATTGAAAACCTGACACGATGTAAACGTTTGTCACGGTTTCTTCAGTAATTTGTCCGGATCCGAATGGAAGCAGCTGATTGGTGAGTTTATCCGAAGTGAAGATTCTTTTTAAAGTCACACAGGCCCAAATGTAGAGCCCAGTTCTTCTACCCACTCTAAAATGTGTGTTATGTTGAGGCATTTGACTATTTGCTTTTCATTAAAATGCACCAATATGACATCAAGTGCTGGCCTTAGTAATATACTTGATTGTGGATCTACAGGATATTATTCCTCGTCAGCGTGTCTCTGAACTGTCGGAGGGAATAGTCCAATCACGTCACTGTACATCCACACAGGTGTGAAGCACAAAACAGATTTTTCTCTGTTTTTTACTCCAAAATATCCCAAAGTCTGTAGATTTGCATAATCAGATTTAGTCCCAGTGTCGCCCCGGAGAGAAACAGGGAGTTTCCACTGTAACATGGTTTCCTTTTTTTCGATGCAGCACTGATGACACGGTTTCGCGGCGCTGCCGACAGGAGAAATGAGGTTGCGAGTTAATAACAAAACATCCTGCCTTGCTGTTGAGTCAAAGGCCCTGCTGCTGTCTGAACCACTGAGAGCAGGTCGTACTGACCCAGCCGAGAGGAGATCTTATTTCCCAGGTCTTCTCCCCGAGTGCTAGCACATGTCCTCCCAGACGAACCGTATGCATTTTAAGCTCAAGTGAGCCAACACACTGAAGGGAAAAAGACCGAGTCGTGCAAACATCAGATCCTATAGAATATCATCAGACAGATGGTCAAAGATTATCTTTTTTTAGTTTTCATAAAATACTGGCGTTGTGTGATCATTGTCTCCTTCTGCAAGTGCACTTTTACTTTTTGAATTTTCATTTATATGCTGCAACTATAGAATTGTACATTTTATTTTACTTGAACAGTATACTGTAATAAAGATTTTAAATTGTATACGTTATCATTTCTTACTAAACAACTGAGATCCTTAAGTTTCTGCCATAGCGAGGAGAACTGCTTCTGTCTTAGGTCGTCTTTGTTTATCGCCCCCTGCTGATGTGGAGGTAGTGACGAGAGGACCTTCACTTCAGCAGCCATTCTGATCACAAGTTGTCCTTTTATAATCAGTAAGACGTGTAAATGGTTGACTGCTGTTGAACCAGTCCGCTTGCATTCATCTGTGTGTTTATCGTACAGTTAAATCAAAATAGCCATATGATGAGCATCATTTTCTCACTTCCTGTCTAGATTCAATCACGTGATGAACGCAATCCGACTCAGTTATTACTTAGTAACCGTTATATAATCAACCCCAAATACTACTGTACATTTCAGGTAACCTATGCTGTAAATAAGATGTCTATTGAGCGCGAGTGTTGCTCATTGATTGTAATGAATATGCAATTCCCAGTAAACTGCTTTGTTTTTGAGTTAATCCCTTTTACCCGTCTCCTGGATGTTCATGTCCACGTGTCTTGTCTCTGAGTGACTGCAGGTTCCAGTTAAAGTACATCAGATCATGATAATGGGTAAATCCAACTTCCTTTTTAAACTCTGCTGTGAGCAATAACTTATTACACACCAGCTGACTTAGCAGGCCCTGAAATTTAACAATAGCGTCCATGAAAGTGATTCATTTTCCTGCTTTCATTGTTCAGTCATTTCTGTGAAAGGCAGTGAGGGCGAGGTTAGGATGTCAGAGGACTCGAGATGGAGAGTAAATGTCCTGTGTCCAATTGTCTGGATTTATGTCCCAGGGTCGATGGAGAAACGGCTAGAGTGGTTTAATGTAGCTGAAGTGGATATATCTGCTGATTTATTGATCCTACACAGGCTGTCAAGATGACTTCATAACCAAATTGCATAATTTACTGCGGACGAGCTGATGTGTGACCACTAGATGGTGCTGAAAAATCTCCAGTTCATGTACCTACAGATTGCAAGTTTTAGTCAGTCCTGTTAAAAGCTGCACTAGTCAAATGAACATGTTTAGGGATATTTATTACCATGTTTTTTTAGGACATTCTCTACATATTTACTGACAAATCAGGCAAGAGTCTTGATGGGAAAATATCAATCTAATAAAATGTCCTTTCCACAGAGATTAATCATCAATTAGAAGCAATTGACAGTTGATATTCATGTATCACTTCATATGTTTATTAGATTATTTACATATAATGGGACGTATTGATGTGGGTAGTTAAATTGGAGACAGCAACACAAACAAACATCTTCCATTGACAAACTCACACAGGTGGACAAAAAGGGAAGCAGTACATATTTCACAATTGCCTAATCATTTAAAAAAGAAAAATACAAAAGTTCAACAACAGTAACATTTGAAACCACCTTTGTGACAGGATATGGTTAACCTAGAGTATGTCATGTCGTTTTATAAACATTAAAGTCCAGCGAAGTTCATGAGGCTTATCGGAGGAATTTAAAAGCCAATTTATTTTATGCAATGGCAAAAAAAAAAAAAAAAAAGTTTATGGATCTTACACAAGTAAATGCTCCTCACACACAGTGAGCAAGAACCACTCCTTCTGGAATGCATGTGTCACTTTCACAATATTCAACATACGCAAGATACACTGTATGTACACACACACCATACGACGCAGACTGTAAAATATACTTTCTGTTGTGTGACCAACAAGCACCATTTAATGTAATGTGTTCAAATCATCTGGATCATTAGAAATGCAATGAAAACAATTACAACACCCAGAGCGCAGCCGTCTGAGCCTCCGTAACCTCCACTGTGTATCATCAGCCATGAGAATGTTGCCACAGGTTGCCATAACAAACCGTCAGAATGGCACTCATCCTAAGTACACTCGATTCAATTATGAACCTGCCGGGATGGGTCAATTGCTCTAAAGGGCTTTCTAGTTATAGTTTACGTGTACTGTGATCCAGACACAAAATGAGCAAACGGTCTTTCTTTACATGGATTTATAGAAGTGGCTGTTGCAGGCAGTCACTCTTCATACGTGGTGCTTGTTAGTGACAGTAGTGCCATTAAATGTAATTTGACAGGAGGGCAGGAGGTGGGGAGGAGAGAGAGAGAGAGAGAGAGAGAGCAGTGTCACACTGCTGGATTTACATCAGTGTTTCCACACAGAGAAATGCAGACTAATTGATTACTTTATGAAATAACTCATTTCTGAAGGCTTTGGAAAAGTAAACTGAATATCATGTTGATTGTAACTTAGGCAGTATATGAAATGTCAACACTTTGAAATGTACAGCCTTTCAATACTGGGAGAATTCAGAAGTAGAACAAATACAGAACATTGCAACATATAGACTGCTTTGACAAACAGGTTAACTGAAGCTCCCCATCATATATCCATATGTACACAATATTGTGCATTTCTATTTCTAAAATCACCTCCTCCTGAAGTTTCGGCAAGAGCGAAGTCTGCTCCGTAGAGGCGGGGAAAATGATTTCCAGAGTGACGGGAACGAGGAGTAGGTGAGGTTGGGTATCGGGGCAGCAGGTTCATGGGCAGGTGGTCTGTTTTCTACTCCAGCGACTGGAGCATGAGGAGCTGCTTCAGGACCTTGGTCTGACTGGTCTCCCTGATCTCTCCAGCCAGGAACATCTCATCCACCACCGTGTACACCTTAAAGTGCAGACAAAGGCAGTGCATTAGAGGGGCGGACGTGGCCCAACAGTGTGGTGGCAGGAAATGAGAGGATTCAGGCTGGATTAACAAGGAGGACAAATCCCACAAACCACATGTGGTGTTGTTGGACCTGAAACCCAACAAACCACATGTGGTGTTGTTGGACCTGAAACCCAACAAGTGCCATCAACTCTGTCCCTACGAAAGGTGCATCATCATCATTACTCAACTCCACCTCTGTGTCATCAACATGTAGAAGTAACTGCTGGGTGACAGAGAGGAATCAGTCCTTCAATGCGTGAATGGATGAGCTTGTGAAATAGTTTTGTCCTCGGAGCAGCTAGGCATCAGTGGATGAAATTGGAACTGCACTGTTCAAAAACATTGATTTCTCTTCTATCTGGGTGTAACATGTCAAACGTAGGCGGTGCTTGGTTTAAGTACTGCATTGTGGGCGGATGTTCAGACACCTTAAGTGATTAGTAAGAGCACTAGCAGCTGTTTAGAGGTGTTTGTTGCTTAGCATTTCTCTCCATGAGCAATATACATCCATCACTAGAATGATTGAGATGAATCTCACTGAAGTTGTGGATATTATATCAATTTGACATTGACTGTAATGAAAGAAACATTCCCTCATCTGCCGTTTGTACTAAGCTGCTCCTTCTCTCTGATCAAGGCGATTATAAAATAGTCTCACAAAGCTAAAATGATCTTGCGATGTGCTTACCTTGTAGAAGTTGAACACAAGGTCCAATTCACACACATTGTGGAAATACTCGTTCAGCACCTTACAGGAAAGGGAGGAACAGTAAAAAAAAATGTTATTAATCTGATAGCAGCCAGGAGATAACCAGATAGTCTACTGTGGGAAGACGTAAGAATGTTTGGTGATTGGAGGGTGCAAGTGTTGTAAGATGGCTAACATGGCGAAGTCGAGCCGGTGGCTCACAGCTAACGGTGCTAACAGCGGTGCATAAGTGCTGACAGAGCTAACAGTGTAACCTGAGTTACAAATCGCATACTTTTTCTTTTTACCGTCAGTGTAAACTGCTGCTGTCTTTACAAAGTACAGGCTTTCCTGGCATAGTAAATAGTTTGGTAGAATAGGTTCTACAATTCTGGTTCTACTTCATTATCTGCTCAGGAAGACATTACTCCACCATATCTTTACATAGCTCATAGTTGTTTGCTGCTATATTAATGTTCAGAATATTGAATACAGCTCATTGAATGTTACGCATTACTGCAGATTATGTTGATGCTGTAGCAGCAGCAGAATCCACTTTACAACCAGGAAAGAGGGCGAATTCCACTACACCTATGTGTAGTGGAATTCGCCAAATTGAAATGTAAGTGGTGCTCTTCCCATCTTGTTTCCACAAGAACTCATTTTCAAGCAGTGATACAGCATAAATCACAATGGCAGAACTACTGACCCCTTGTTAACAATTTGCTAAAGTAAATGTTGAAATGAGCACCATGAATTCCTGCCGTGAGCTCGTCTCCTAAATAAAAAAAGCATGCACTGTGTTTATTTTAAATGGGTTATTTCTCCTTGGGCATGGGGTCGTGTGCAACAACACGCTTAGAAAGTGCAACTTAAGACTCGCAGGCATTTCTTCATAGTCAAACATTACATGAAATGACCTTCACTCCCGAGGGCTCCGACTACAGCTACTATTTGTCTTCTTAGCCAAAAACAAACAGTAGAGCCGACCATAAGCTCACAATTTCAGTTGATTTTTTATTCGATTTATAAAATGTTATATTATTTGGAAAGGAAAAAAGCTGTTCACCGGTAATCAAGCAAAGTAAACAGTGACACTCGAGCAGCCCAATTCCTCCTACTACTTGTAAACTAGAAATAAAAAAAACATGATTCTGATTTGAATATTTGTAGATCTGCTGTCAAGCAACATCTGAAATGATCATCAAACGATACTGAAATGCATTTAACTTGCTGTTTTTACTGCAGTAGCACTTCATGGGCCAACCTGAGCAATGACAGGATGAAACTATGCTGGAGCAGGTCATACAGTAGCTGGCACGGACATTATGCGGAAACTTCCAACGATTCTTTTTTAAAATCTGACCAAAATACTTGCACATTACAAAAATAATCAGCTCCAAAATCTGAAATGACTGCATCATTGACACTTTAGTGTGAGTCGCTATCAGACTCAGGTTGTAATCAGTGATCAATTTGTTATTTTATTGCTGGAGGCATATTTCCAGCATCACTTGACTTATCGAACACTGATGAAGTCAATAATGATACACCCTGAACATAAGAATGCAAGATAAACTTTATCCTCCTAATTTGTACTGAAATAGACTGTCACGGGTAAACTGTGACTCACTTGTTGTGCTAGCAACACTCTGATAATCCATATTCTGTTGAAGATTAAACCGTATGTGCTTTATATCACAGCGATTTAGATATTACATTGCACTAAATTCCCACAGAATGCAGGTTTGATATTAAGGAGCCGCAAGACAGTAGAAGGACTTTTTTTTGAAGGAAATCATTAACGGACATTCCTTGAAACAATCAGGCCATGAGAAGTAAATCATCATAGTTCACTTACAAGTGTGGGTGTGTGTGTATGTATGTATATATATATATATATATATATATATATCTCATGTGTTGTGTATGTCTGTTACCTCTACAAAGTTGTGGATCCCCTCGAGGTATGCCAAGTTGTTATCAGTCACGTCCACACAAATACAGAAGTATAGACCAGCATAGCGCCGGTAAATGATCTTGAAGTTCCTGAACTGTGGGAACAAAAAAGATAAAGCCTCTTAACAACTATGTCTTATTATGTCTTGTATTATGACAACAGCAGCAACTTTGCTCGGAGGTAAGCTTCTTAGCTTTACGGTAAAACACACACAGTATGTGTCTGATTACCTTGGAACAAAATGCATAATACAACTGGTCCGCAGACCAGGATTTGGTTTTTTTTGACAGTGTATTTCTCCAGAATGCCATCCATTGGCTGAAATGGTTATTTTTATAATTGTCATAACTGTGCATGCATGCGTGCGATACTGACTAATCCCATACCTCCACAAAGTTGGTGTGCTTGGCATCTCTGACAGTTACCACAGCATGCACTTCCTCGATCAACTTCTGTTTCTCATCATCATCAAACTGCATGTACCATTTGGCCAGTCGTGTCTTTCCTGCTCGGTTCTGGATGAGGATGAAGCGGATCTATGCGACAAAATAAAAAGAATAGAGTTTACAACAGAAATAGTCCAACGTTACTTGTCCTAGATATCTAACGTTAAGAGATATGAAACAGATAATTTATAGATAGGACAAGACTATCTAACGGTAGTGTTACTTTGTATTATCTAAAGAGTTAGCAGTATTTCTCTAGTTATTTATTCAACTGTAGCTAGTTTAAAAACTGTTAGCAATAGCTTTAGCTAACGTGTAAGCTCGCGGTAGCTAAACCACACCCATTCTGTTGACAACTAGATTGTGCAAGACCTTAGACAAAGTCAAAACGATTGCAAGGCGATCTATTTGAGCGACGTGGTAGTCGGTGTCTGTGATAAAAAACGTCGTGACTTCAGATCTGTGGCTTTAGCCTGCTAAGGTAAGTTAGCTAACCGACTAGCTTTGCTAACGTTTTCTACTGACTGAGTGAAGCGGTTGTCCAGCTAGCGGTAAAACGCCACCACTATGAGAGGAAAACACTGTTCATATGTGATATATTTACCATTGTCTCCTAAATGTGGACCTGATAGGCTCAAGAATATCACGTTCCTGACGAATTTTGCGAGGATTTTTTCATATATACATCAGTAATTTCTTCGACCGCTCGTCCGCTACCTTCCTCGAGCTAACAGGAAGTGAGAAACCACACGAAGTTGCGTTGCATGGTGGGAAAAGTAGTTTAAGTTGCGACATTTAGAGCCAGTGGGACGTCTTATGGCACTTCAAGAACCAGCGTCCCTCCGTAGTGTCTTCAGCTGAGTCGCGCCGTGGATCACATGAGAAGATCTATTATTTTCTATTGCAGAAAAATCTTCAGATGTAGTTTCTAATGCGAATATAAACAAACTGTTACTATAGGTAAGCATGGCAGATATTAAAAAACATGTATTGTGACACTGAACATGACTCAATCAGTCGTATCTGTAATGTTTTTAAAGAAACTAAAGGTTACTTTAAAATTGTACTCATTACTATTGTCCAGCTTGACATTTTTACCACATCAAATGTAAAAAATATATATGCCATCTACGTTTTTGAAATTGTATAAATAGTATTTCAGCCATTTCTTCATAATAGTGTTTGAGTGTGTAAGTGTGCTTCAGTGTGTGTGTGTGTGTGTGTGTGAGACAGAGACAGAGAGACAGACAGAGAGAGAGAGAGAGAGAGAGAGAGAGAGAGAGAGAGAGAGAGTGTGTGTGTGTGTGTGTGTATGTGTGGTAGTGTGTACTACATTTGTGATAAACTGCACCTCTGAATAACTTTCATACACTATATAGAAAGAAAAAGTTGCAATACCGGTATATATTTCCACCTCCGGAGGTTACACCATTTGCGGTTGTTTTCTGCAGTGTCAGGGCCCGGTGTTTGTTTACTTGTCTGGGTGTGCAGCCATTCACTGCAGAACATTGCCCAGACAGCTTGGACAGCTTGCCTCTCTGGGCATTCAGGGTGTTTAGGGGGTCAGAGGGGGATGGGGGAACTGTGATTGTCAGGGATTGCAACACTGCGAGTGAAGGAATGTGCTTGCTCTTGGGACCCATAACTATTTCAGCTACAAATACAAAGAGGGTTGATAGAGAAACAATATAAAATGAAAGGGAAAACCAATGATTTAACGATAAACATAGTTTTTCCTCCATATGTGTTTGCAGCTGTGTTTTGATTCTGGTGCGTCTATGGTAAAGAAAGCACAACATGTCGTAACCTTCACATGAAAACTGAATAGCACAAATAACCTTTTGTGTCATAATTTAATAGCTAAATGAACAAGTTGTATAATAGGGTCCGGTGCATGTTGAAAAAACGGTGGTAGGAGAGAGGGATGCAGATTAATCAACAGAAACTTTGACCCCATGCTAATCTTGCTCTGTGTGATTGGGGTCATGCAAATATGACTGAGAACACAGTGACTAATGTGATTGGACAGAAGTGTGGACTCATTAAAACGGTGGGCAGTGCACCTTGAACCCTGACTGACTGTATTTAATGGTGGGTCAAGTTTCAAACTGTCAAAGCACACATAGCGCATTGTAATTTGACAACTCATGTAGGAAAAATATAACATCTGTACTTACAAATAATTATTTCTTATGTTCTGGTTGTGCCATTCAGCAGCCCAGGAGGTGGGATATTGTAACAGCATTTACCTTGACTGTAACTTTGATGACATGCCTCTGACATGATGTCTATATTGCTTCAATGATGCAGTGTTTCAGTCTCAACTATCTTCTAACATGTGAAATTCAATTTCAAATCAATAAATTGGGTTTTAAATCCCTATAACGTATTTGTTTTCATATCAGAGTTTAGATCATCAGATAGGAATGACTATTGGAGAGAGATGAGGTTAAATTCCAGGAGAAAGTCCCAATGCAAGACACTAAACATCTGTTTGAGCTGTTACAGGCAGTTGTCTTGTACAACATTGCAGACCAAGTATGTGAAAGTAGTTGTATTGTCTTTCTGAGAAAACTACTTAAGGATCTTAAAATGTTTTATTGTGTAGTGAAGTCAAAGCACAGACTTCACAGCTATAGCCTTGTGCCAAATGTATGACTCTGGTCACAACATATATAATTATGACTAACCTTTGAGATGATGTCCCCCCCCCCCCCCCAGAAAAAGTATTAAATATTTTCCCTCTGTGCTGTTCGATACGGTTTTAAGTAGGAGTCCTCGGGTGAACGCTCAACAAATCTATTACCCACGGAACAATAAAATCTTGGAGATGACAAATGTTTGACTTTGTACAGGAAAACGGAGATCAGCTGTGAAAGGAAATGATGTGTGGGACATGGGACCAAGAGGGCAAATGGGCCGAAATAAAGTCAATTAATTGCAATCATGATGACATGTTCTTTTATCCTGTAGCTCGGAAATAGTGTTGCGGTAGAACACAGTGCAACACAGAATAATAGTCTGATATCAGTGATGCTACACATCCAATTTGAAATGTTTTTATTAATTTGAAATTTCCTCCCCCATCTTTACCATTTTTAAATTCTTACGTGCCACATAAAGAAAGTTATTGTGATGTATATGCGATGGCCGTCAACAATGTACTTGTTTGTTTCGACATATATACGAAATAATACAAATTGAAGTATTTGAAATAACAATGCATTATTTCTTAAAATAAAATGTAGTGAAAGTATAAGTACAAAGTAACAACAGAAATACTCATTTAGATGTGTTAACATTGTAGTTGTAGCACAGTAGCCTCCATACAGTTTAGATAATTATTATTTTTTATTACGTTTTTTGCATGTTAGTATATAGTTGTTTAGTCATTATTACAGATATTTCTGTATGTTTTTAGTTGATTCATTCGTCCACTGATAATTACATAAACAATACATGTTTACATGAAACTACAAAAAAATAAACACTAATAGGAAGAAAAAAACTGATCTGGGATCTAGAGAGAAATTTTCCGGCTTTTTGGCGAATTGTGATTATTTTTTAATGAATATGACGTGTTTAGAAATATGTATATATGAAAAAGATGTAATAGTCACGTTTAAATCTCTTCATAAACAGAGTTGTAATTGTGTCCATGAACCGCTGGGTGAGTCTCTCTCTCTCTCTCTCTCTCTCTCTCTCTCTCTCTCTCTCTCTCTCTCTCTCTCTCTCTCTCTCTCTCCTGTGAATAGGAGGGCAGATGCTGGATTCGGGAGAAGGTCCGCCATTATTGTGAAGCTGGAAAAAAAAAAAATAGACTTATACACACCGTCACACATTTCGCCTGTAAGGGGCTTACGATCAGAAAGGAGAATACATCGGGTTCGGACGATCTGTTGTACACTAAAAGTGGCGCTTTTGGTAAATGAAGGCAGGGCTTTTAATCGCGTTTCATACGGACTCTTTATTTTTGACACAACAAAGGAAATAATAATTGGTGAAAACAACGTGGTGGTTGAATCAAGAAGGGAAAAAAAACACACCGAAACAGCGCTTTTTACAACGCCTCCCCCTTTTCTCCTCATTTCCAGACTGGAGTTTGAACAGCATTTCTCTTTTTTTTTTTTTTTTCTTCCCCTAACGAGAATTTAGTTGTGTTTTTTCTCTCCTCTCTTCTCCAAAGACGGGGAGAGGTACGCATCTCGTTTCTGAAAACTTCAGTCTGATGAAACAAGCACTTAATGGGGGAAAGCAGCGGACAGATAGCCTGTTAATTTAAAAAAAAAAAAAAAAAAAAAGGCGGAACGGTGATCGGTGTCCGTGCTGGTAGGAAGTGTTTTAATCTGTTTTTTAAAGTCTTTCGCCCCGGCTGTGAGCAGAGAGGAGCAGCGACAGAAAGAAAGGAGTGGACGAGGAGCCGGAGAGAGGAATGCTATGGTATGTAGACCGCACGAGATCACTCTTCTTTTGCACCCAAATAACGCACGTGAATGGACAATTTGAAAGAAATGGTGAAAGGATATTTTTTTTTTAGGCGTTTACCTCCTCCCTACATATGAAGTGCTGCGAATAACAAGAAACTGGGAGTCAACCCCAGTCCCCCTGAGGGCTGGGGAGATGTTGAAGCCCTCGATAGTAATACTAATGATTATTCTAATGACGATGCGTGCGTGGAGACAAATAAAACCTGTTCTAATGTCGGCTACATTTGCCCTGTGCGTGTTTTTATGTGGGAAGTTCACAGAGGAGAAAAAGGGGGGGGGGGGGTCATGAAAATGGGTCTTGTCCAAACATTAAAATTGTTTGTACAACAACACCTGGTATGCATTGGTCTGGTCAGGCCTAGAGAAACTCGCCATGTAAGCCTTGAATATAAGGAGCAGCACGGATTTTTAATTGGTGGGTGGGGGGGATGGGGTTTAATTGCGTTGGCTGTCAAACAACTGTTAGATGCTGCATGTTTTGTGTATTTATCAATGTTCAGATCAAATGCTGATTTTTCTTTTTTTCTTTTTAATGAGGTTTTGTGAAGTTGTAAGTTGTTTAATGTCGCTGTCTGGGCTTTTATTTGTCATGTTTAGCAATTTAGTAGCCACAAACCACGGCCCTCATCAGTTTTAGATTGTGATACACGCTCTTTACACATTGTAAATAGTTTGAGTGATTATTTTCTCTTTTGTTAAATGCCACACTAACTTTGCAAACATCAGAGCTGCATGTGCAGGGCTTCCTGGTGAGTTAGATAATGTGCGTACGCCCTGCCGGGAGGTAACAATGCTCTGCTCCTGTTTAACTCTACCTGTCACACAAGTGGCTTAAATCCTCTACGACAGGACATACATTATATGTGTGGGCCATTTCTACCAAATGTATATATCTCAGGTGTGGCTATTTTAACCTGAATGTCTGGATGCGGCTTGTCGACCACTTCACGTTCTAAGACAAGGTACAGACTGATTAAGGTGACCGTATGATAACGATTTACACTACCTTTAATCTATTATTGTGCCAGAACTTGTCACCGGTGTGTTACAAGCTCGGTCTCACTGCCACTGCAAAGTGGTCATTGCCCTGCCAGCCACTCCCTTTTTCTCCCGAGTCCCTCCACTGGACTTCAGTACTTTTAATTTCGAAGTGGTCTTTTCTACCTGCCTCTCGATTATTGATTTAAGATCGACTTGAGAGAAGGAGATAAGTGGGGGGAATGTTTGTGATATGGCCTTTAACACAGCGAGGGCTGTGGCCTGTACTGCTGTGTCATTGCCAGATACAGGGGACATGTTCAAAACAGGAACTTTGTCATTTAATCATGGATTTATGATGAGGATTTGACATCCTTACCAAGCAAATAAGTTGACTCATGTCCCTGGCTGTTCTTTGACTGAGTGCTTTTTGATCTTTGATCTTAATCAGCCTTATTGGGACGACCATGCCGTGGAGGAAGTAAACACAAGCACACACACTTTCCTTGGCGAGAGAGTCTCTTTGCTCTCAGGTAAATGCATTAGCAGCTGTCGGCACTTCTGTTCTCTGCTTGATTGGGCCCTATGCAGTGCAGTCACACCTCTCCAGGAAGCCTCTTCTTCCCCTAATGGCCGTGCCATTTGCCCAGGCAGCAGGCTAGCTACCAGCGTACCCACTCACCCCTGTCTGTCTGTCTGCCTGCCTGCCTCTGGGCTGCGGATCGTGTCGTTAGTCTCTGGGCTAGAACATGTTCCTGGGATTAGAGGAGGGCAGGCTTTGTTCGTCAGGATGTAGGCAGAGATGTGGATATATCCTTTGATGTGAGATTCTGTCCTTCTATTATGTGGATAAACATAGAAAAACAAGGGAAACAGTGGAGGGACATCTAATCCTTTTATATCAAGTTTATTCTACTAGTCTTTAATATGACTTCTCAACACAGATAAAGGCAATCAGAGAGTACATCAGCCTTAAGTGTGGAACATGTTCTGAATCAGTAAACCCAACTGTGAGTTAATTTGACTGTAATGTCACTCAATTTCAAAACTTGAACCATGCAATGTTATTTCCATGTCAACCCGGGCTTTTTTTTTCGAATGAAACGGTGGCCTTTCCCTCTTTTGCCGATTTCCCAGCTAGCATACTTGTCAACGCAGAGTGAGTCCGTATGCCGGGGATGGAAAAACGTCCCCCGCTCATCTGAAAATGTGCCGTTCGCCAAATCTCGTCTCTCTCTTGTATCACAGGAGAGGTTTGCTTGTGAGTCAGTGTAAGCCTGTGTTTGATGGAGAAAAGAGCTAATTATAGCGGGCAGCTTTGGAGTTTGGTGGACCAGATTACAGTCACTCTCCTCTCAATGGCTGCCTTGTTCTAGTGGCCGATTATTAGGCAGAGAGAAGTGCATTCTGGGATGATTGTATCTGAATTTCCATTAGAAAGTGTGCCTGCCTCAGTTGAACTGAGGTTCCCTTCTCTCCCCACTGGTTCAGCTCCCATGCTCATTACAGATTTGCAGATGGGGACAGCTTGATATAAAGGCCTCTGTAGTGAGCCCCTGTCCTGTTTTAGAGCTACTTTAACTCCATATCCTGAATGTCCGAATTATGTATGAGGGAACCCACCCCCGCTCAGCCATGGTGGTTGCGCCTTGTTTTGATTTCCTGGAATTATAAGAACATATCACTAGTATTCATATGCAGAGGCCCCTTTATAACAAATGGTTTGTAAGTCATTTTTATTTAAATCAATCGGTAATAAAGATTGCATTTGCTCTCTATCCCAAGCCCACTGTATTATGGTATTGCTTTTCCAATACAAATGCATTATTAATGGTTAATACTAGTGGAAAGTAAGGGCTTTAGATATGATCAATGGTTTGAATGGTGGCCCTAGTGCCATGTTGGGGTAGTTTTAACTAGCCTTCATGTTTCTTCCCGAGGAAAGAAGAAAAAAAAAAAAAAAGACACTGTTTGGATTCACGGTGACCATGGAGATGAAGGACCAGGATGTAAGCCACAGAGGAATGGTGACCTCTGGACGTGAGCGGCCCCGCTTTGCTATTCCAGATACAAATTACACAACAGAGGGGCAAGGCTAATGGGCTATGGTAATTTGGAAGAGCTGAAATGGGGGGGGAGGGGGGGATAAACTAAGAACAGGAAGAGAGTGACACAACAAAGCAGGTAGTCAGTTGGAGGAGAAAACAAAGCTACAAGCATGAGAGAGTAAAATAAAACGCGAGCTGCCAGTTTCTGCTTCAGGCTGTGTTCCTGGTATGTGCCCTTTCAGCCTTCTGCTTAAGGATCAACCAATCAATGACAGCCATAAGTAACCCCGCTGCTTGGCAATTGGCCACGGTTAAATTCCATGACTCAGCGTGTCTGTAGATAAAATGTTATGATTGAGTCACTGCCAATGAAATTAGTTCATTCAGTTGGACTGCTGCTGCTATAATGACATGCAAAACGTGTGTACCACCTTAAGTTGTCCAAGTTTTATGGGTTGTGAGGGGGACTAGTCTGAAAAGAGGGGCTTGTCTTACGTGAATACATATTCCATTATTTTATCACGTTAAGGGTATAATAGCCTCTCATTGTTTTCGAGTGAGTCGGTGTTTACGCTGACTGTACTGGAGACGCTGGAAGCCTCTCAGAAACAAAGAGATGTGGCCCTGAAATCCACCTACACGAGTATTAAAGGATCACTTTGAGCATGTTTTAGTCTGTGGACACTAATATACACACTCGCACGTTTCCCACCCTAACCCAACACTCGGTATTCATTTCTGTCTTAACATGTCGTGCTGACCTTCCCTCGTGTCACTGGCAAGGCTCCAGGCTTCATTGCCTAAATTGGGCCGGAGTCAGGAGGAGAAGTCCCTGTGTGTCATTGTTTGACTTTCTCTGTGGAGATTCTCCCTTGTGGCGCCCCTGGGGTTTCCTCTGGGGGGGTTCAGGAGAAGTAGATAAGGATAGGGTGGAGGAGAGAGTAATTTCGAAGGTGAGGGGAAGATTCGGAGTAATAAGCCAAATGAGAAAAACATCTAAATGCCACTACCATGCTGAATGATGGTGGGTGCTGCAGGTGGCACACCTTCCGTTCACGTATTCTCATACAATTTGTTGGTTCAGTAGGAAGCTCAGCAGTCGAGCGCTCAATGCATGTCTATCCTTTCCCGTCCTTTTTACATGTAGAGAGAGGTGGAGTGCTGGATTTATTATATATTACGTATGAAGCTACATCGCTCTCTTGATTACCTACTGTGGGACTTTCCATTCGGACACCTTATGCATTCATTTTATTTAGTGCTGCAGTACATCCTTACATCCTCGGGTATCATCAGTTCATTTCATTTCGGAAAGGCTCCTGTAACGGCAACTTCGGTGCGACTGAGACACTCTGAGGTGGGGCGTTATCTACAGAAGACTGGCTGCACTCGTAAGCTGCACCTTTGGTGTAATATCACAAGCGAGCGCGAGAGAGAGAAAAAAACATGCAACCCCACCTCTGCTCCGCACCTCTAACTGTTCTGTAAACGTTGTAATTGAAACCAATGGGTTGTGTGACAAACTACTTTTTCATTTCATTTTTACACAATCGCCATAATAAGATTAGGTGTCTTGTAAAAGATTGCGTAGGAATGCTATTAGTATTTGGCAGTTTACAACTGTGTGCAGAGGCATGGAGTGAGTCTGTGGTGATACGAATGTAAAGTCCCTCTACTGTGAGTTGTAACTCCTTCTTTGGGTTTAGATCTGTGCCATGTCGATCTATAACTGCTGTAGGAATGTTGATGGTCATGGGTAAAGCATAATGACGAGTCAGGAACATGATGTTCTAGTTTGTGTGGTATCCCGCCATGTTGTCCAGTTATCATGATGTCTCTTACTGTACATGCTCTTTCGGCCCAGCGTTCTGACAACTTTATTGGAAGTGTCTTTGTACACCTGCAGCATGCAAGAAGAGAGGTGGAG